TTTTTTCTACCTCTATGTTTGTATGAACTTTTCTATTGAAATTTATCTCATGAATGCGCTCTTAGAATGCACGGCGATTTGGTATGGCGGACAGTTTTGCGAAAAACAAACTTAAAATAAAATAAAGATTAAAATATTTAATCAACTGGCTGAAAACTAAAAAATTCAATTTTGCAAATGCTCAATTTAGCAACAATGCTTTAGAAAGTTTACCTTTATATTTTTATAATTGTTTTACACTTTGAAGGTAAGACATTGGAATTTTTATGGTAGGGAAGTAATGAAAATCGAGCAAAAGCACAGATGAAAATATTTCGAAACAGTCAATTATTATTGCAAGTAAAAATTAACAAAATGATTTAACAGAGTTTGAAAAACATTGCTTTGTTTAAGTAGCAGAAAATTTCACCAGAAACGGTCATAGACTCTGAAATGTATGTGGTTGAAGTTATGAAGTGTTTGATACAAAAAAAAAAAGATTTTTTTAAATTGGCGCAAAAAAGCTGCGATCTGCGTTCTTATAGTGGAAATCAAAGGTCCGAAAAACGGCTGTRTTTTTAAACTTTCTCAATAATAAATAAAAAAATATATATTCTAAAAAAGTTTTAAGCTGTGCAACATTAAATATATTTAAGGGTCGGACTTTTTGMCGAAACATTGAATATAATATAGTTTTCTACCAATAACTCTAAAATTGAAAACATTTTGTTTTTYTATTTAGGAAAAACCAATTGGGGTAGTGAAGGTTTCGAAGCAAACTTGTACATTATCAAAGTACATATTGGTTTTTATTTCTCAAGGGTAAAATCTGTTTAAACGTGAATAATAAAAGCTTGAATTAAGGTCTAAAAGTACGGAAAGCAATATTGTGGGAAAAACTATTTTCAACAGAAGCATAAAAACATGCATACTACTTTTGAGGAATCAAGTTTGTACTTGAACTCGTAAAAATTTACGAAGTAAATAAACGGTTTACACTTGACTTTAACTTAGTTTTAACTCATTTTTCAAAATTAATTTTGGCATCTTTGCCGTCTTAAGAGCGTTGAAAATTTGGAAAAAATTGTGTGAAACTCGCGGTTTTTGCACTTTTAAGGCGATAGAAAAGCAACTAAACACTTTCATACACAATTATAAATAAAAATTTTAATTATTTCCCACCACACAGTCTAATAAAATACTGAATTATTAGTACAAAAATTGTTCGGAACTATGGAACAAGAAGCTTCACTTAGAATGATTTCATCGCCCAAAACAAATCCATTTGTGGGAAGTTGAATAAAATATTTCCGCACTTTCCAAAACGAACATATTAACATGCACTGAATACACATGTCGACTAGGACAATCATTTATTTCCTCAAACAGAACATACAAAGCAATTTGTACAGAAAACATCCCCCACATCAAGAGTCAATGAGCTATAAACGATAAGTTAACAACAAGCTTGAAGGATCGCAGAGTCACGTGCCTGAGCGGAACCAATTGGATCCTTTTATATGTAGCAGTGAACCAATTAAAATTGATTTTTCACGTCTTGTAAGCGAGGCCTTTTTGAATAAAGTGTGACACCGGATTATATGGGAAACGGTTGGGGGATCGAGGGTGGATTTTATACCAACGCTTCTGTTTGCTAATTATGTTGTCGACACTTTCGACATGGGAATGGACTTGACAGTGTACTTTGCAACGAAAAAACATATTGGAAAATTGGAACGTGTGCACATTGTTTGAATATAAAAGTTTGGTTGAGCATGAAGTTGCAGAAAATATGGAAAGAAATAATTTTTGAAAAAAGCATTCTGCTTTTTGCCTTAGTTTGCATGTTTGGTTTTTTATGTTGAGTTATTTGAGTTTGGGGCCAACATCCACAAATGTCCAACAATGCATTTACGATATAAAAATATTAATTTTTTCAAAGGTGCAGCGTGATTCAGATAACAATAGAAAACACTTGATAATACGAGCCCAAGTTGCCTCCCAAACGCGGTCTGGCCTTCAAAAAATGCATTTTATTGCCGCATGAACATTCTAAGAAGCTTGACCCCATGGATCTCAATTAATCTGCATAAATCCCCATTTTTTTGACACCTTTCTTTTCTTGATCTTTCTTATTAGCAATCTTAGCAAGTGTAATTGTTATTATATTCTTTTCCTTCCCTGGGCTCCAGTCAAAGTGTGAAATAACATTTTTTATATAGTTTATTTTATAACGTTTCAGCGAGACAACAGCGTCATCATCAGATTTAAAATTCATACAAACTTATAATTGGTAAACATTACATTCTTTTAGGTCTTTGCTGTCTTGAAACCTTCAATTTGTTTTCGCACGCTGAAAAACAAATTGAAGGTTTCAAGACAGCAAAGACCTAAAAGAATGTAATGTTTACCAATTATGAGTTTGTATTAATTTTAAATCTGATGATGGCGCTGTTGTMTCGCCGAAACGTTATGAAATAACCGATATACAAATTTTTRTTCCACWCTTTGTCTGGAGCCCAGGAWGCAAAATAGTATATTAAAAATGGAAAACATTGTAATAATAAAAAATTGCAAAACCAATAAACGACAAAAACCATTAAACCAATTTCGTTTTTACGCGCGCAACAACATTTTGCTGATACAAAATAAATATTCAACAGCCTCTGGAAAAACTTTTCCGATTATCGCTGTTATTTTCAAATGTAAAAAGTTGCCGGATATATTTTACTTCGTCGGCGCGTTATAAATAACCATTATTTTTATTTAACTTTTATTCGAGTCGCCCAGCAAAAGCCTATACATCATTTCAATTGTTTTATCGTCAATGCTGGCCGTATTTCAAAAATGCAATCTTTTAACTCATCACTTCACGGTTTTATATCGAACAATTTACGAGTTCGATGTGACAAATTTATCGAAAATGTTGCTGAACAAACAGTAAATTGCCTATTTTTTTGCACGTTGGTTATTGCGCTGCAGAAACAATAAATTAATTAATATATTTGTTGCGCAACTTAATTTATCTGAATGTGACTCACGTTTTACTTATTGAAATTGTGATAAATTATTGGATTAGCACCAATACCGAAATGAAACCGGAAAATATATTTTGGATTATTTGGGATTGATAATCGATATAAGAGCGTCTTTTGACTATTCCGAAGCAGAGCGCAATTTATTGGTGTATGACACACATTTTGCTTCTAAGTGCGT